CTGGGTTTGTATTTTGCGCTATTTATCGGGGCCGTGACCTTGCGTCAGACAGCAGCACTGTGGAACAGGAACGCCTGTTAGCCAGAACACTCAAGTCGCTAACAATCGCCGAGTGAAGACAGCACAAACTGGCTGCACGTGCTCGGCTGAGCGATCTCGTTCGGAGACAAACGGACTGACCCGCTGTGCACCAGCATACCTAAGGTTAAAGCCGAACGGCTGACAGTGGTACGGCCCACAGCTTAGGGGCAACGTGATTCCCCCGTTTCTCATGCGCCCTCCACCTCCCCGCCCCCTTCCTTGTCAGACCAACACCAGGGGCACGTAGCGTGGCAGCAAGTCGAGTCATGCTCAGCAACTCCTTGAGACTGACTCCAGCGTGCGGGCTGACCGAGCTGCGCTGCTTCCCCAGACCCAGCACTTCTGGTGGGCCCGGGGGCAGCAGAACTGCCGACGGAGGTGGAGCAGGGAGGGAGGAGGTGCCCATCTGAAGGAGGGAGAACGAGGCGGACGAGACTACATGCGCGCGCAAGTGGACGAGCATACAGTGTACAAAAAAAGGCTGGCGCATGTCCGTCCTGCAGAAGCGCATACGGCAAAAAGGCTTAGCAGATTCACCAAGCAAGTTACACATCCTGTTGTTCACCAGAACTGATAAGATTGCGCAGCTGGAGCTGGTAATGCTTGCTGCTGGCCGCGCGCAAAGACCAACGGTTCAAGGGCCAACAACGGCCTCGAAATCTCGTCCATTCTATGTGCGTCGATGTGGACAGATGTGCTCGGAAACTACTCCAAGAGAGTCCCACCTGTCAACGTTTAATTTCTGATTGTCTCCCTAAACATCGAGTAATGCAAGGGACCTGTTTGGCAGAAGGGCCACACATGGCCGAGGGGATCAACTCATGATTCGGGGATGCGCAGCGTCTGGCCTGTGGCGCATGCAGGGCACCATGATTCGGGGGAGTGAAAGTGTGTGGCGCAACCTATGGAGCAAAAAAAATGCTCCAAGATACAGATGGAACGAAATCGTGATCCGGGTGTGCGGAGAGTCTCACGTAACCTATGGCGCAACCTTTGGCGTAAAACCATTGTCTCAACATGTGGCGCAGGCGGACAAAACAGACCAACCTGGACCAATGACGCAACCCATGGGCTGTGGCGAGAAGCTGTTGAGCAGAGTGTGCCGTGTCGTGTCCTTTCACATGATGTCCAGGGTCCATGCCTCGAATGTCCAAACGTCCTCACCTCCCTACCGCGTTGCCATCAGAGTACGGTTCCAGCTAAATTGCCGCATAATGGAACCGAGTAGCCGCCGAATGCGAACATTGGCGGTCTAAGGCTCCCAAGCGCTTGAAATCTGATCAAGGTCCTCCCTCCTCCTTCTCCTCCTCCTCATCATTCTCTTGCTCCTTCGCATTTACCTCCCAACCACACATGCACAGTTGCTAGCCGCACAACGCGAATACTGTAAAGGCAGGCCGAAGGCCAAGGAGGCTGAGTTTGGGGAAGAAGAGCGATTCAGAGACCCACCGCAAGCCCCGGTATGAGCCCGTCCTGGGAGCGCGTCAAGCACAGTAAAATTACGACTGGGCTGCCGGGCAAGAACTGTCTGCCCAAGCAAGAGGATGAAAGAACTACGAACTGCCTCGCCGACTAAGATGCTGGGGGACACGAGGGTGCACCCCCCCTGGACAAGCAGTGCAACTCTTGCCGGGCGTGTTGATGAATCATGCAGGGAACCTTGGGGGGATTTCTCACCCTGGGTCCTTTTTCTGACGGCCCTGGGGCCCGAAAGTGCCCCCCCAGAGGCCAAGCACTCCAGAAAACCGAGGGCGGCGCAGACAAACGCATCGACGATTGAAGTTGCATTGCATAAACAAACGCATCGACGATTGAAGTTACACTGCTGTTCCAGAAGGGGGCCAGGGCAAGCGCGGGTAAGGCGCAAAAAGCGCCGCCCGTTCGGGCGGCATGACGCCCGCAGCCTCGGTCGTGGCCTGAACCGGCCGGGGTGTGCACCCGCAGCCGCGACCCCCCACGGCCGCAGAGATCTGCTGCCAGGATTCGCGCCGTCCCACTGGCGCACAAGGATTGCGAAGAGGAGAGGAGAGGAGAGGAGACGGAGAAGGAGAAGGAGAAGGAGGTGGAGGAGGAGTGAGGGGCAACGATCGGTGGGGACTAGCTCTGGGGGTGCAGCATCGAGCTGCACTCGGCGATGCCTCGTAGATACGTCGGCGATATGCCCTCGATGGCGACTCCGCACGCTCGTGGGCGGGGTGGGCTATCGGGCCCCTATCGGCGACGTGTGGGCCATTGGGGGTCGATGCGCCCCCCCAAGCCCATCCCCCCCCCCTAACGTTGACCGTGGAAGGACCAGGAGGACGAGAGGGGGATGAGTGAGAGCCCGTCTGCCTACACATGGAAGCGGCTCAGCACGAACCACTCGGTGCCGTCGCTACCGGTCACGAAGCCCAAGCCCGCAGCCGCCGACTCGCCGAGCGCACCGCCGGCGGTGGAGACGCGGGCCCTCGGCACGCACTCGCCGAGCGCACCGCCAGCGGTGGAGAAGCGGGCCATCGGCACGCCCGCCGGCGGGCCTCGCTGGGCCGCCTTGTGCAGGAAGGCCGGCGCGGACGGCACGGGGACCTCTGGGGGGACGTCGTCGTCGCCGCCGCCGCCGCCGCCGCCGTCGTCGCCGTCGTCGTCGCAGCCGCCGCCGCCGCCGCCGCCGCCGCCGCCGCCGTCGTCGTCGTCGTCGTCGTCGCCGCCGATGAGCTCCAAGCAAATGCAGCCGTGGCCACGAGGGCCCCCCAGTGGGGAGGCCCCAGAGGAGGCGGACACGAGGCAAGCGCAGCGGCATCGGCGCCCTTTCCTTCCCCGGGGCCTCCTCGCACTTCGGCGCCGCGGCCGTCCCCGGCCACGCCTCGGCGGGGTGGGCCACCCCCGACCCGTCGAGGGGGCGCACGTAGGGCAGGACCTCGGCGTCCCGGATCCGCCGGGAGCGCGCGCGGACCCACCTCGACATGTTGGCCTCCAGGCCCTGCGTCGTCGATCCGCCACCGCGCCCCCTGGCACGCTGCGGCGGGGTGCCCAGAGCCCCAGAGACTCTTCAGGTCGGGCATGCCGCCCATACAGGCGGATTTTGGAAGAAAAACGGGATTTGTCAAAACAGACTCAAACATCACCAGTAGAATAACCATGTACCACGGAAAATAATCCCACAGGGATAATAAAGTTTTGGGTCGCGGGGGGATCATACATGTTGCCAGCCGGAGGCCAGCATGTGGGAGGAGAAAGAGATGATGTTAAGAGGACCGAAAGCCGAGGATCGAGGATCGGGAATCGAAGTCCGAGGATCGAGGATCGAGATCCCAGAGTCGAGGATCGAGGTCCGAGGATCGACGGCGGCGAGGTCCGAGGATCGAGGATCGAGGTCCGAGGGTCGAAGATCGAGGCCCGAGAAAGCATGCTTGCTTCGCTTGAGAGATCCTCGAATACATGTCTGTTTCACTTGAGACATCCTCGACATATCTCTCGCTTCGTTTTTTAGATTCCATTTGGAAGCGAGCAATGGAAATTAAGATTGTCATCTGCTCGTGTAGGGCAACTCATGTGCCTCGCTTTCCGTGGATAGTAAGCCACAGCGATAAAAAAAGTTCTCGGGGCATGGGGGAGAAGGAAGAGGACAGAGAGAGAGAGAGAGACAGAGACAAAGAGAGAGATAGAGAGACAGATAGAGAGAGAGAGAGAGAAATAGAAAGCGAGAGAGGAGGAGGAGGAGGAGGAGAAGGAGAAAATCCAAAGTTCCAAACCTATTATTTTCAATTTGTAGACAAACAATGGACATCAAGATTTTCATCTGCTCGTGCAGGGCAGCTCATGCGCCTCGGTTTCCGTGGATAGTAAACCACAACGATAAAACAAAAAAAACAAACAGGCGGGGCAGGGGGGGGAGGAAACGGAAAGAGAAAGAGAAGAGCAGACATAATAGAGAGAGAGAGCGATAAAGAGAAGCAGAGACAGGGAGAGAGAGAGAGAGAGAGAGAGAGAGACAAAGAGGGATGTAGAAAGAACGAAAGATATAAAGAGAAATCTATACAACAATAAATAAATAAGAATGAGGAAATAAGGAAGAAATAAGAAATAATAAAGAATACAAGAGAAATCTATACAACAATAAGGCCGGCCTCGGACCCCGCCGGACGGGCCACCAGACTGCTCGGCACGAGGACACGGCCCGGGGGGGGTCGAGGCCCAGGCGCGCGATGCTCCGACTTCTCGTCCGCCCGACTGCCGCCCGCCCTGTCTGCCGCTGGAGTGGGAGGAGGAGGAGGAGGAGGAGGAGGAGGAGCAGGAGGAGGAGGAGGAGGAGGGGGAGGAGGAGAAGGCCCGGACGCGCGATGCTCCGACTTCTCGTCCGGGCCGGCTCCCCCCTCGTGGTCCTCGTGCCCCCACGGCCCCAGGGCCTCGGCGAGGGCCCCCAGGAGGCTGGGAGCGGGCGCGAGCCTCCCGCCCCCCCTCACCCCTCACGGCGCGGGCCGGCCTGGGGAGGCCCCAGCTGCCCCGAGGCTCGCACCTGTCCAGGCACCGGGAAAGCTTCGGCAGAAGGCCGAGGGCGGTCTGGTGTGGTTCCCGTCAGCCCTGCCGAGAGGGCCGCCGCGGCGCCCTCGCGCCATGGGGCTGCGCGCCCCCCGAGCAGGGCCCCCCCCCAGACGGCCGCGAGGGGCGCTAACGACGATCAGGACGCCCCCGTGAGATCCATGGCGTTGCAGCTCTTGCACGGCAGGCGTGTTCCCCCGGTTTCGGGCCCCAGGGCCCTCACAGATCGATCCGGCTCGAAACGACCGGGTCCCGGGCTCTGGTGGTGAATGTCTGCAAGGCTGCGACTGCTTTTCTGAAACCTCAGACGTGGAGGCCCGTGGAGGGCCTCACGCCCACGAGGCCCACAAAGGCCCCCCACGCGAGGCCCCCCAAGGAGCAGAGGGGGTACATGCCAGCTGTCACGGCCGTGGGCGCTCAAAGCGCCGCCACACAAAAAGGCTGCTCTGGCACGGCGGCGGGTCTTGCCGCACGCAGCTGAATAGCTGCACCCTCAGGGCGCGGCCGGCCCCGAAGTCGGCAGCAATCACGGCCTCAATGAACTCGTTGATCGCATCCATGACGAAGAAATTGATGAACATCTGGCCCGTGCTCTTCCGCGTGTGGAAGCACCGGGGGACGTAGATGTAGTCGTAGGTGTCCTGGAAGCCGTTGGAGTCGAGCCATGACAGCACCTGGGACTTCGAGCAATCGGGGCCGACGTTGTCGACGAAGAGCGTCATCTCTTTTTTGTGGGACACCTGGGCGGCGAAGTGCTGGATGCGCTGGACCCTGGCGGTGTAGTCCATGATCGTTTGGTGGGGTAGCCAGGACGGTTACTAGCGGCGAAGTCGGACACGGAGCTCGTGATGCCCAGACGAGGGCCTGAGCCGAAATGCCTTCAACCAATACACCTTCCTGGGGAGGCGGCAAACGAGCCTCCCACCCTCCAACCGCGTTCGCTCCGTCCTCCCGGACATTCTTTGTACTCAGGAGGGCTGGTTGATCCCGAGGGGGGAACTCAAAGGGGGTCCACCCCTCGCGAACGTTACGAGTCCTCACCCAAGTCGGTATGTGACCCTGTCCCATGATGGTGGGGGGCAGGCTGGCAGGACCGCATCAAGTGAGAACTCCCCATTCTCCCACCCTGTCAGGGCTTGGCCGCGCCGCCTCCCAGCGTGAATAATATTTTGCGCCCCGCCCCTTGGATCGCGGACCAAATTTAACACTGTGCTGTGCAATCGGCATGCCGCATCCCTACTCCCTACATAATACTGACTACACAGTACTCGGCACTCACTACTCGCGACTCCCATACTCGCTACTCGATACTCACTGAGCACTCCCCGCTACCCACTATTCACTACTCCCTGCTCACTAGTCACTACATAGTCTCTAGTCACTAGTCACAAGTCACTAGTCACTACTCACTACCCACTACTCACTACTCACTGATCGCTACTCACTACCCACTATTCGCTACCCACTTCTTACTACTCGCTGCTATCTACTCCCTACTCCCTACTCCCTACTCCCTACTCGCTACTCACTACTCACTATTCACTGCTCGCTACTCTCTACTTTCTACTCACTACTCACTACTCAGTACTCACTATTCACTACGCACTACGCACTACCCACTACTCACTACTCACTACTCACTAATCTCTACTCAGTACCCACTATTCGCTACCCACTTCTTACTACTCGTTGCTAACTACTCTGCACTCCCTACTCCCTACTCCCTGCTCCCTACTCACTACTCGCTACTCTCTACTCACTACTCGTTACTCACTACTCACTACCCACTACTCACTACAACTCGCTACTCCCTACTCGCTACTCACTACTCACTACCAATTGTCAATACCCACTACTCTCTATTCATCACTACTCACTAGTCATTACTCACTACGCACTGCGTACTACTCAGTAATCACTATTCACTACTCACTAGTCCCTACTCACTACTCGCTACTCTCTACTCACTACTCACTACGCACTCCGCACTATGCACTATGCACTACCCACTACTCACTACTCAATAACCACTACTTGCCACCCACTACTCACTACCCACTACTCCCTACCCACTACTTATTACTCCCTACTCCCTACTCATACTCATGACTCGCTACTCGCTACTCACTCCTCACTACTCGCCACTCACTACTCACTTATCAGTACACACTACTCACTATTCACTACTCACTACTCCCCATTCCCTACTCCCTACTCCCTACTCGCCACTCACTACCCACTACTCACTACCCAATACTCACTACTCACTACGCACTAACTCGCTACTCACTACTCACCACTCCCTACTCCCAACTCCGTACTCCCTACACACCTTCTCGGGCGCAGAAAGGAGAAGCGAGAGAGCCCCCCCCTCCCCGGCTCCCTTTTCGGCGTAAAGGGAGGGAGGGGGGGGGGGGTCTCGGACGAGAGACAACAAGGAATCCAAAAACACTCCAAACATGCGATGCGTTGGTTTCGTATGTGACGCTGTGTTGTGCTCTGTTCTTTCAGGAAGCACAGCGTGTTGGCACGATCTGTCATGCTCTGTTCTGCTCTGTCGTAGTATGTCTACTATGCCGCGCATGGTATGATATGCGATGCTATTTTAGGTTAACGTATGTCATGATATGGTTTGTAATGATACTGCTCATGCTATGTCATGATCGCGTTATGGTATGTCATCTTATATTGTGGCGGGTTGTGTTCTGTCGTGCTCGTCGCTATGCTCTGTTGGCGTGTTATGGCATGCTCTGAACGCTGTGTCGTGGTATGGTATGGTCGTCAAGGTGTTATGTAATGCTCGGTCCTGTTATGTTAGGGTGCGTTATGTCATGGTGTGTTATGATATGGTCTGCCATGATGTGGTTTGTGATGCTATATTCAGATGAATTGTGTCATGATTTGCTATGCTATGTTATGTCATGTTTGATATGTGATGTTGTGTTGTGTTATGACGTCTCGTGTTATGTCTTGTTCAGTCATAACATGTCATGGTATGGTATGTCCTGTCGCGGTATGTCTACGATGCTGCGCTTTTATGTCATGATTTGATATGCAATGTTCTGTGATGGTATGGCATGGAATGTTTTGTAATGATACTGCCACATGATGCTCAAGTATGGTGCGCAATGCTCGTGTGTTGTTATGTTATATTAGATCGTGGCATGGTGTGTTATGTCGTGTTCGTCGCTGTGCTCTGCGAGGGTGTTATGACATGTTCTGGACGCTGCGTCATGACATGATATGTTCCGTCAATCAGCGTGATGTTATGCTCAATTATGTTATGGTATGGTGTGTTATGTCGTGCTATGTTCTGCAGTGTTCGGCCATGATGTGTTCCGCGTTGATAGATTACGCTGTGCGTGTCATGGTAGTGCTATGTTATGCCATGGTATGTTGTGTATTGCTGTTTTTCGTGTTTGTCGAGGGCGCGAGGCGGGAGTCCCAGGGACTATCGGGGACTCTCGGGACAACTTGGGGTCTGGCGGCCGCGGTATGCAGTCGTGTTTGTCGAGGGCGCGAGGCGGGAGTCCCATGGACTATCGGGGACTCTCGGGACAGTTTTGGCTCTGGCGGCCGCGGTATGCAGTCGTGTTTGTCGAGTGCGCGAGGCGGGAGTCCCAGGGATTCTCGGGGACTCTCGGGACAACTTGGGGTCTGGCGGCCGCGGTGTGCGTGGGGTGGGCCGGGGAGTCTGTTCTTGAAATCTATCAACCCCAACCTGTCAAGTGGGGAACAACCCAGACTATTTCCTGACTAGTCTTGAATATTCCTCCTGTAGAGGGACAGGCCCGACTTAACCCTGCATCAGCTCACATGCCCGCGCGGCAAACTCTGGGATCTCCGTCCCGCAACAGGCCGGAGGATGTCAGAGGGGCCTCGCGCACTGCCGAGCGGGCGTGCACACGCGAATCCGTCGCAGCGTCGAGCGCCAGCTTACGAGCGTCCACGACAAGCAGAAATACCCCGCTGACCCGACCAGGAAGGCCCCCAACAGGCCCCCAACAAGGGGCCCAACAGGGGACCAAGAGGGGACACTCGAACGGGCCCTGGGAGAGCCATTCCCCGCAGGTTGTCCCCGAGACCGCCAGCAGGGCTCCCAAGAGGCCCCCAAGAGACCCCGTGCCGCCTCCAAGAGCCCTCAAGTCCACGACACGGGCACCGTGGTGAATGCTCCGGATTCAACTCGATGATGCTACGAAGCCTGGACTGGCCTTCCAGCATCTGCACTGGGCCACGGAAATAGTCACTTCCTGGAAGCTACTCAACAAAGGATGGCCCCAAACGACCAGGGTCGGGAGGCAAACACTTCTCGGCGATCTGCCCAAATGCCCCCTGATGTGAGAGCCACGTTTTCCACGAAGGGGGGAACATCAGAGCTGCCAGCCCAGTCTTGCCACTGGAATGCAAGGCTTAGGTCGGGCATGTCCTCTTACAGGCTGATTGTGGACCAAAAATTCGCTGGCCCAACGGGCCAAGCGTGCTAAGATCTCCGGTAACTGGTTAACAATATTCTAATTCGCGCGCGCGGGGCCGCCCCTGGGGGTCCCCGGACGAAAAGTACCCCAGGAGACCCCGGGAGACCCCCGGGAGACCCCCGCGGGAGACCCCCGGGAGACTCCCGGGACACTCGGATCAGAGATGCCAGACTGGGCAAGTGTTCGACACCCCTCACGAGGATCGTGGCCTCCGAGGGGAGGGGCGCAATCGACTACCCCCCCTCCTGACCCAAGAGGTCCCCAAGACAAGACGCCGCCAAGGAACCCCAAGAGGCTCCCAAGAGGCCCCCAAGAGGCCTCCAAGAGGCCCAAAAAGTACCCCCAAGAGGCCCCAAAGATAGCTGCAGGGCCAGTTCTGACAAATGCACTCCTGTGTCAATGCTTAGCTCACTCTTACTTGAAACGAATTTCATCCCTGGGCGGATGGAAGGAGTCTCTTACTCACAACGCTTGCATCAACTTCGCGGGTGGTGAGCGGCCCCTTTCCGAAACGCATGTTTCGCCATAGCACCGCGCGCCTTCGATTCGGCTCAGACAAGTTGCGACAAGGAGTACGTGAATGGACCTATGAAGAGGGGACATGGGACGCGAGGGTGTAGGGCAACATTGTTCATGCTATCTGACTTCCCTTTGGTCATTATCCTCCTCCCTCTTGCCTCCTCCTCCTCATCCTCCTCCACCTCCTCCTCCTCCCGCCTCCTCCTCCTCCCTCCTCCCTCCTCCCTCCTCCCTCCTCCCTCCTACCTCCTCCCTCCTCGTCCTCGAGCTCCCCCCTCGAGGCTGGGGGGACGAAAAGGTACCGCGCCCGCGATCTCCTGGGCCTCTCCCGGGGGGCGCACTGCCGACGACTTCTCAGCCAGTCGACCGCGGTGCGCAAGATGGGCCGGCGAAGCGATTGAATAAAACATAGTCGACACAATCACAAAACTCATCCCCATATCATTTTTGGAATATCCCGCCTCTCCCTGGCGGCGCGCACAGGGGGGGTAGGGGGGAGGGGGGAAGGCTTCTTAGAAGGAGTGCTTCTTAGAGGGCCCGGGCCTTCCATCTGCAGACAAGGCCCGCGCCTTCCCAGAAGCAGGGGCGCTTCCAAGAAGCCTTCCCCCCCTCCACCTAACCCCCCCACTGCGTGTGGCTGACCGACCTCCCCCGGCGGCGTCTCGTGCGCCGCCCCTGGCGCGCTCCGCGCGCCAGGGAGGGGCAACGGGCAGCGTGGACCCAGAAAGCAAGCCCGCGCGGACCGTCGAGCACGTCTGCGTGTGCCGACTGCCTTTCCTCTGCTTCGTCCCACACCGCACCTCGGGTACCCACCTGGCCCCGCCGCCGCTCGCGGTGCCCTAATTGGCGCCTGTGATCTGCTCCAGGCTGGCGGGCACCCCGCTCGTCGTCCGCCGCCGCCGCCGCCGCCGTCGTCGTCGTCGTCGTCCTCGTCGTCGTCGTCGTCCTCCTCCTCCTCCTCCTCCTCCTCCACCTCCTCGCCGTCGTCGTCGTCGTCGTCGTCGTCGTCGTCCTCGTCGTGGTTGTCGTCGTCGTCGTCCGCGGTGCCTTGGCATCCATGATCTGCTCTGGGCTGGCGGGCACCCCTCGCGGCCAGGCCGCGGCCTGCGGGGGGGGGCTTCGCGCGCACGGCCCCTCTCTCGGCCTCGGCGCCCCGCCGCCGAGCGGAAGGGCCCCCTTCCTCCTCCTCCTCCTCCTCCTCCTCCTCCTCCTCCTCCTCCTCCCTCCTCCTCCTCCTCCTCCTCCTCCTCCTCCTCCTTCCTCCTCTCCTTTCCTCCTCCTCCTCCTCCTCCTCCTCCTCCTCCTCCTCCTTCTCCCCTTTGGGAGGCTCTTGGGCGCGGCCCGACCGACCCCCAGCAGGCCGTCCCCCTCCGTCACGTCGCCCTCGCCTTTCGAGCTGCGCGCGTCTTGGGGCGAGGCGAGGGGGGACGTCACGGAAGGCGATGGTTTGCTGGGGGCGGGCTCGGCCGCCCCCGAGGCTTGGACGGGGGCACCAGCACCAAAACAGGGGGGGCCTCCACCAGAGGAAGGGGATCTTAGATTCAGGTGGTGATCTTTCGGCCATCTGGGAAGCCCGAGGATTACCACTACCACCAAAGTCGGGACCATCTTTCCTCAATGGGGGAACGCCGCCGATTTTGGTGTTGCTGTCAAGCTCCGGGCCTCCGACGACCCCACCCCCATCTCCTCTCGCCGCGAAGAAATCACGACGGGATGTCAGCGGCCATGCCCCAAGACCTCAGGGGCCCTCAAAGGTCCCAGGGACTGTGAAAAAACGACCCCACAAAACCAAACAATTGTATACACATGATATTTCGGAGGTCCGACCAAACTTCTTGCATCGGCGATGGACCCGCCACCACCTTGGCGCGCGGGGCGCGCCAAGGGGGCGGCGCCACGACGGGGGCCCGGTGCAGCTCCAGCATACCCGCGCGGACCCCTGAGAAATTCGGTTTGTGCACGTTTCCCCAACAAGTGTTTGCGCTTAGGGGTTCTTAGTTGTGTTCTGAGAAACTGGGCCCAGGCTGGTCTGGCCGCTCCGTGCTCGCCGTCGCCGCCCCGTCGCCGCGTCGTCGCCGCCTTGTCGCCGCCTGCCGTCTGGGCCTGCGAGCTGGTCTGGCGGCCCATTGCTCGCTGTTGGTGCTCGCCGTCGCCGCCTCGTCGCCAGTCCGTCGCCGCCCCGCGTAGGATGCACCGCACTGATTGCGCTGCGTAGGTTCCGAATTTTCACTTCCTGAAAGAATCTTAGGACCCCTCCCCCCCTCCGCCCCCCGGACTTGACGCTTCCCCTTGTCGTTGTGCAATTGACATATAATTGTGTCTCATCGCCCATCCTGAATAGGAGCTCGAATCATCCCAGCCAAACCAAGGCCGCCCCCGTTTCATCCTTATGCAAAAACTACTATGCGCGCTCACTCGTTTATCACAAGGAAATAAATCCAATGTTCAAAGACCCGGCTGCAAAAACATAACGAAGGCACGCGCGCACGCCGTCGCGCGCGCATGCCGCAATGCTTCAAAAGCCGTTGGTGTTCGTTCGGGTTTCAAAACCGACTGCCCCGAAAACATAAAAACACGTGGCTTCGCAACAACAGCTGTTACAAACAACTTGCGCTCGCGCTCTTGCAGATTCTTGAGCAGACCACAGTTGCTTCAACATGTTCACAGCATGCAACCGACGGTGCCTCTCTCGTGCGCATGCCGAAATCCTTCGAACGCCGTTTGCGCGCGCGCTGTCGCAAAAAGCCCTTGCAAATAACGGGATGACGTGCACACGCGCGCGTCGTCGCGCGCGCATGCGGCAATTATTCAAAAACCTCGGGTTCCGCACGGGTTTCCCAACCGCGTGTCCCGAAACATCTGAACTCGCAACATCAGTTCTCAAGGAAAGACTGCGCTCGCTGTCTTGCGCAGTCTCAAGAATAACCACTTGTTGTTGCAGCTTACATTAATCCTGCCATGCGGACCTCTCGCGCCGCATGTCGAAACCATTCGAAAAGCCTTACGCCCGTGCTGGGGGGAGGCGCGATCAATGTCACAGAATGTGATGCGGGCAACTTTCACGCGTCGGCCGCGCACGCATGTCGAACTCCTTTTCAACACCTTCACCACCGACGCGAAGATGCAGCCATCGTCGCTGGCGTGACCAGCATCCGCGTCGTCACTGGCCTTGCCGTCGTCGTCATCATCGTCACCAACGTCGCAATTATTGTCATCGAGTCTATCATTGTCGACATTGCCATGATCATTACCGCGCCTGCGCAGGTCGCCGAGTCGCACTGCAGTGCCCGCTGGCAAATTCTGATGGACCAGCGCCACCGTAGCCGCGTCGGTCGCGCCAAACTTGCTGTCAGCTGCGCGCGCGAGCATGCGCGCTAGCGCGACCGCGGCGACGCGCCAGCCAGCGCCGAGCAGTCATCGCAAACGCCGCCGCATTGGTTTTGCAAACCAATTTGCGGGTGGGTGGGTGGGGTGCTTGCGCGAGCAATGGAGTTGTCAACGCCAAGTTCGGCAAGGCGAATTATGAAAATTAGATTGCACCGCGTACGTTGCAACACATTGGTTGCACCACATACACTGCATGACATAAATCGCACCTCGTAGATTGCATTACATATATAGCTTCACATAGGTCGCACTACATAAGTTGCACCACGTAGCTTGCACCACATATCTTGCACCAAGTACATTGCACCACATAGGTTGCTCTACTTGCTATATTGCGAAACATGGAATGCACCACATGTAGGTCACGGCGTAGATCGCCCGACATACATTGTACAACATCTATGGCACAGCATAGATCGTAGCACATAGGTAGTACCACATACTTTGCACTCGCACTGCATATTCGTCTCAACCAAGATTGCACGACATAGATGGCTAGAAACACGCTGCTTGGGGTCCACGGTGGCCAACGTTCTGTTGCTAGAGTCCCGGGGCGAAGACCCAGTCCTAGGGAGTGGGGCTCGTTCTCCGGAGTCGACGCTGCGACAAGAAAGAGCGGCGTCTGAGCATTGAATCGTCGCGAAGGCTGAATAAGATCGCGACTGCTACGGTCAGGAGCTTCTGGATGGCGTGACGGCACGGCGGCCCCTGCGACACGCTCCCTCTGAGTGGACATCGAGCCGCTCCGCTCATCAGCACAGGAGGCTCGGAAACGCTCCCGACGTTGACGTTCGGGGACCGCGACGTGGGGAGCGTGTCGCGCCGAAAAACTGTTCCCGACCGTACATTGCCACGATGACCCCCGAAGTCGAACCGGCCATGTGGGAAGGACCGTGTTCCATGGCAGATTCTCTCGGCGTCCAGGCCTGCACAATCCAGACCTCCGACGACCCGATATTTTCGAGCCTCGGGCCGCAAGGAGCTCTCCACCCGTGCGCTGGGACTGGGCTTTGGCCCTGAGCAGCCTTCTGACAGCCCCAGGATCCGAAACCAGCCTCCCAAGGGCTGGAGAGACAGACAAAAACTGAGACTCCACACCTTCGAGTCCCTCTGCAAGTCTGAATTCCAGACCTCCAGAAAAAGGTCTCTCTGGAAGCTGGGCGGGGCTCTCCTTCCAGGAAGGTGGCCCCAACCTGGCCCGGCCCCAGCCCCCTGAACTCAGGATGAGTCCCCATCGAAACTGAACAAAAGTGGCATCGGATCGGAACGTGCGTCAGATCGGGCCGCGTCGGCACGGCGTCGGAACCAAATCGGATCGGCCGCGCCAGGATGCACAACAGCGCTTTATATCAGGCATCGGGCCGCATCGACTCGTCCGAACATCGGAATCGAACAGGAGTTGCTGAAAAAGTACGTAGGCCGAAATGGATCGAATCAGATCGACAAGGACCCTGCTGGGGCCTCCAGCGGGAGGGAGGGTGAGCAGAAAGCGGTGCAGGGGACGAGAAGGGAGGAGGAGAAAGAAGGATGAGGGGGAGGGAGGAGAGAGGAGGATTGGGGAGGAGAAGGAGGAGGATGAGGAGGGGGAGGAGAGGACGGACAAGGAGGATGAGGAGAAAGAGGAGAAGAGGAGGAAGGAGGAGGAGGAGGAGGAGGAGGGGGAGGAGGGGGGAGGAGGAGAGGAAGGAGGAGGAGAAGGAGAGGAGGAGGAGGAGGAGAGGAGGAGGAGAGGAGGAGGAGGAGAGGAGGAGGAGGAGGAGAGAGAGGAGGAGGAGACGGAGGAGAGGAGGGAGGGAGAGGAGAAGAAGGAGGAGGAGGAGGTGGAGGAGGAGGAGGAGGAGGGGGGGGGAGGAGGAGGGAGGACGCCCGCAACGGGGAGGCGCGGGTCCTCTGGGTCCCTGGCCTTCTCCCCGTCGAAGAGCCCCTCTTCGCCGAGAGCACCAAGCGGCCCCGCCTTTGCCTCCTCCAGCGAGGGGGGGTCCTACTCCTCCTCCTTCTCCTCGTCCTTCTCCGCCTCGCCTTCCCCGTCATCCTCTTCTTCCTCCTCCTCCTCCTCCGCCTCCTCCTCCTCCTCCTCCTCCTCCTCATCTCATCATCATCATCATCATCATCATCATCATCATCACCATCACCATCACCATCACCATCACCATCACCATCACCATTACCATCAGCAGCATCAGCATCCGCATCATCATCACCATCACCATCACCATCACCAGCACCATCACCATCATCAGCATCATCATCATCAGCCTCATCATCAGCATCATCATCAGCATCATCATCAACATCATCGTCAACAACAGCATCACTGTCGTCGTCATCATCATCATCAACAACATCAGCATGATCATCATCAGCATCAGCATCAGCATCAGCATCAGCATCATGATCATCAGCATCATCATCATCATCAGCATCATCATCATCATCAGCATCATCATCATCATCAGCATCATCATCTGCATCATCACCAGCAATGGCATCGTCAAATTGTGCATATTCGTCGTAACCCGCATCACACTGCCATCACCACATCATATCATATCAAATCATCAACCCGCATCACATCATAGCAACATCTTCGTTGTAACCCGCATCACATCCCTTCTCCTCCTCCTCCTCCTCCTCCTCCTCCTCCTCTGCCTCCTCCTCTGCCTCCTCCTGCTCCTCCTCCTGCCTGCCGCACCGTTTCGATGAGATCCCAGCTCCACCCCCGCGCTTGCGCGCGCCAGGAAGAGAGGGGGGGCGCGGCCAACGCGGCGGCGGCACCCCTGGGCGCCGCCGAGGGTAGGCTCCCAGCGAGGGAAGCATGAGAGAGAGGGGTAGAGACACGCTACCACACACTGACGCAGGAGGATGGCGGGAAGGGATGGGGTGGAGCGGCGGGGGCACGCAAAGGGCGTGGCCGTCTTGGCGTTTACGGCGCAGCATCTTGCCCGTAGCGTAACACGTGGCAGACTCTCAACTGTAGCGCGGGTGACGCAGTCTCGTGGTGCTGTGCTGTGCGCTAACATGAGTGACAGGCCCCAACAGCTTTCGTGAAGGTAGTAACCGGGAGCGGGTGTGCACAGTGGCCTGGTAGCATCTGGAAGTTCCTTCGTCCCCAGCCACGCGCCCTCGCCGTACTTCCATGCAGTAGGTCGTCTGGGGCGCACTGGAGGTGCGGTGCCACTGGCGGTGACACCCATGGGTGGCGCAGTCCTGCTAAATAGTGGCCACCCCCGTGGAACTGGACAACTCAACGCAGTACTTCGTGCACCTGTGATGCTGGTAGCGCACCCTTGGCTCATTGGATAGCTTGTGGGCCCCGTAATCCCACCAGCCCTTCGGGCGTGAGTGGTTTAGAGAGCCCGCTCTGTCCTCAACCCCCTTTCTTCCCCTTCGGGGAGGGGTTTACCCCTCCCCTACCCCCTCCCCCTGGACCTGGAGAGGGCGGCCCGAGCGTGGTCAGGGGGGTCTTTTTTGACTCCTGGAAGGGCCAAAAAACGACGACCCTCACGAGGATTCTGGCCCCGACGGGGGGAACCACTTTGGCCCCTCTGCTCTTCTTGAAAGCCAAACTCATTGATTTTACTACGGTTTTGGCCTCCTTTTGGCGCTCTGAGGGGGCCGCGCTCATCGTCCTTCATAGCAAAATCATTGCTTTTACAAAAAGGTTTCGGGCTCATTTTGTTCTTTTCAGGGGGCAGCTCTCATTGGAGCTCCCGAGGAGGTCGCAAGAGGCCCCAAGATGGCCTCCATGGGCTCCCAGGAGGCTCCCAAGAGGCGTCCTAGAGGCCCCCCAGAGGCGCCCCAGCGGTCCCAAGAGGCCGCCAAGAGGCCCCCAAGAGGCCCCCAAGAGGCCCCCAGAGGCTCCAAGAGGCCCCCAAGAGGCCCCCAAGAGGCCCCACGAGCCCGAACGACTCACACCAGGGCGAGGGGCCCGAACGACTCACACCACGAAGGGCCCGAACGACTCACACCACAAAGAGGTTCCCGAACGACTTACACCAGGACGAGGCGCCCGAACGACTCACACCACGAGGAGCCCGAACGACTCACACCACGACGCGGGCCTCGAACGACTCACACCACGAGGAGCCCGAACGAGTCGCACCAGGAGGAGGGGCAGCGCTCAGACAAGCCACCACGAGGAGCCCAAACGACTCACACCACGACGAGGGCCCCGAACGACTCACACCACGAGGAGCCCGAACGAGTCACACTAGGAGGAGGGGCCCGAACGACTCACACCAGGACGAGGGGCCCGAACAACTCACACCACGAGAAGCCCGAACGACTCACACCAGGACGAAGAGCCCGAACGACTCACACCACGAAGAGCCCGAACGACTCACACCAGGAAGAAGGGCCCGAACGACTCAGACCAGGACGAGAAACCCCAAACGACTCAAACCACGAGGAGCGCTTTCTCTCCCTCCTCCTTCGCCTCGTCCTTCTCCCGCTCCCCCCACAAGGAGGATGTACAAGGAGGCGGGAGGAAGGAGGAACAGGGGAGATATGCGGGGCCAAGCGGACACACGCCTGAAAAACACGACTGTCGGCATGCTTCGCGAGAGTTGCTGCTGTGAGATGGGCTGGTGGGGATGCGCGAAGCGTAAAGAATTCATGTAAAAGATCTGCAGAGGATTGCGGTCGTCCGCGCGGAAGTCAGCATCCTTGCCGTGGGGGTACATGCTTGCCACGAGGGTCTTGTGAGCACCTGGGGGTCTGGGACGGTCGCGGAACTTGTTGCGGGGTATCATTGAGGAGCCTCGCCAGAGCAGCGCGTGCATAATCTGACAATTACAGCGTTTCTTATAGCCATTTTCGAAGCGGAAAAAAGCATCACATTAGTAATCCGACAGTTGCAGCGTTTGTTGTTTGAAAAAAGGGTTTTTGAAACAAATTTATAAGACAAAAACATCGATCGTAATCTGGATTCGTTTGCGCAGGTTCGACTGGTGATTGAGAATGTAAAACGCTCCTACGGAGCACAGCCCCAGTGCCCCCAGCAGTCGCGCAGTGCACCACATTTTGGGGCGGTGGGGAAACGGCTTCAGTAGTCTTAGTGGGCCCTGCGCGTCCAGGATCATCATGTTCGAACACGTTGAACCGCTCATGCACCGCATGTTTAGTTTCGACATTGGGTCCATTACCTATATGATGTAGTAAGCCCCCGTGGTATGTAATCGGTGCCTGATGGTGCCCCCGGGCTTCTCATAGAATCCCTCGCCTGTCTCTAGAGCCCGTTTTGGTGCCCATAGGACACCAGATGGTTCGTTGCGTTTCCAAATGCTTCCTCTGGGCACCACCTTCGCTCGGCAGTTTCGCCCAGTCGTTCCGCTGGCCCGCCGCTGGTTCCACGCGGGCCCCGAGGGTCTAGATAGGCTAGCAGGGTCTCACTGTTTCCCAAGAGCCCCCATGAGAATTATCCCTTTGCCCCCCCGACGCTTCTTTTGAAGCAGCGATTATTGTCGTTGCGTCTGCGGGCCCCGTGCATTCTGTGGAATGCGGTCGCGCAGAGTGTCACGCTCCGCTGCACTAGGCCCAAGCATGGCCCAAGAGGGGCCAGACCCTTGGGCTGCCGCGGCCGACCCCTTGACGGCCGCGGGGCTTGGCGCCCTGGTGGCGGTCGCCAATGGGCGGCCCAAGCTGGGGCGCCAGGAGGTGGTGGCCCGCGTGGTGGCGGGCCGGAAAGCTGCCGCGGCGCGGCGCAAGTTGGCGCAGTTCTTGTGCTTCGCGCGTGCCCGCCAGCCCATTCAGCAACCAGCGTTGCAGGTGTTTTCGTGGCTTCGCATGATTTTGCATGTCGTGGCTCCGCGCGTACGCGCCCCCGCGCGTACGCGCGCTCGCGGGCAACGAGGAACGCGCAATATGCCATCATGTATAATTCCACGTTGGGGCCTCCAAAATACGAGTGAAACAATTGGTTTTCACCATTGAGTTTTTGAGATTGAGTTGGCTACTCTGTATGCGCATGTGATTGTGCGCGCGCACGAGCAACCCTGAAAAGTTCAGCGTGCCACATCGTATGTTTCCGCGTTGAGGCCTCCACAATATGAGTGAAACAGTTGGTTTTCACAATTGAGTTTTCGAGCTTAAGATGGCTAACCTGTATGCGAATTTGATTGTGCGCGCGCGAACGCGCGCGTACGCACGCGCGTGCGCGTACGCGCGCGCACATGCAACCCTAAAAAGTTCAGCGTGCCACATTGTTGAATTCCACGTCGGGGCCTCCAGAATATGAATGGAACCATTGGTTTTCTTCATTGAGTTTTCGAGATTGAGATGGCTACACTGTATGCGCATTTGATTGTGTGCGCGCGAGCGCGCGCGTGCGCGTACGCGCGCGCTCGAGCAACCCTGAAAAGTACAGTGCGCCACATTGTATGTTTCTGTGTTGGGGTCTCCAGAGTATGAGTGAAACAGTTGGTTTTCACCATTGAGTTTTCGAGCTTAAGATGGCTACACTGTATGCGCATTTGATTGCGCGCGCGAACGCGCGCGCGTGCGCGTGCGCGCGCGTGCGCGTACGCGCGCGCACGAGCAACCCTGAAAAGTTCAGTCTGCCACATTGTTGAATTCCACGTCGGGGCCTCCAGAATATGAGTGGAACAGTTGGTTTTCACCATTGGGTTTTTGAGATTGAGATGGCTACTCTGTGTGCGCATTTGATTGCGCGCGCGCGTGCGCGTACGCGCGCGCTCGAGCAACCCTGGAAAGCACAGTGCGCCACACTGTATTTTTCTGCGTTGCGGCCTCCAGAATATGAATGGATCGATTGGTTTTCACGTTTGAGCTTTCGAGCTTAAGGTGGCTACTCTGTATGCGCATTTGATTGCGCGCGCGTGCGCGTGCGCGCGCGCTCGAGCAACCCTGAAAAGCACAGCATGCCACAGTGTTTTTCTTTCCGCGTTGAGGCCTCCAGAATGTACGTGAATCGGTTGGCTTCCACCATTGAGTTTTCAAGATTGA